GAAAGAAAGGCTCGTGTTTCGAACCCGATCATTGCCTCTCGACTTCCCCTGTTTAGGTTTGGACAACTTGGGAGTATCCTAGCCCTTTTGCTTCCTTCTGGTGGCATGGCCGTTAGGCACCGAAACGGTGCTACAGCTGGACAATTTAAAAAATTTTTAGTCCAATCCATGTTGGTCACCTAATTGAGTCTGAGATGCGCTAAGCCTGCCCGCTTTTGCGTTCATATCTTCGGCAACCACAACGAGCTTTTAGCTCGCTGCAACAGGACATTCAGGACGTCATAAAACCTCTCCTTTATGGCGTCGAAGAGACAGTCATTTTGGACGTAGGCAGGCACAACAAACGGACATCGATCAACTTTCCGCTTGTGAGAATCATTCGCAAACGTTGCCAGACGAACCACACGCAGGCAACTAGCAACTGGTATCCAGCCAAGCAAGGATGCTCCCCCCACCGGTGACTTAGGACCATGCTAACCTCTGCACATGCTACCGCAGCAGCCTCTGGATCACCTAAAGTGTGCAGCCAGACGTGAGTGGAGGGTTATGGGAGTGGTTAACTCAACCACTGCGCTTGCATCTCGTATCCTTGTTTCGGATACGCAGCACGCACGAATGTCAAGCGAATCCAATGTGAGAGCAAGAGCAGCCTGTTGTCTTTCTTAAAAGTGCCGACATTGAAAGCAGTCAGACAGGCTCGGCGTCAATGCTTGAAAATTGGTTTCGAAATAGCTGGAGATGTCGGCGCCGGATGACAGTTAGATTTTGATTGCAAAACCGATGCAGGACGAACGGTGTCATCAGTCCTAACTGACGGACCTTCATGTGGGGAATTGTTAATGGCGTGAGCAGAGGGGGGGAGAAAATTGTGTGAAAGAGAAGGAATGGAGGCTTCAGAAGTAACATGTTTTCGCTTACCGGTCTTGCTGTATGGTAAGGCGACCCGGCTGTTGACGGTCGATGTGGCATAAGTTTATTTGTAAGTGTGCAAATAATGTTTGTACATGGTCTGGGATACTCCCAAGACGCCCACACGTAGACAGGAGGATGATTAGGGTCCACAACATCAAAAGCCTGACCACAACTTACAGAAGGTTCGCTTGTCTAAACTGAGTACCGCAAAGGTAAGGCGGAGGGCTAGTTTCTTTGAAAAGTCCTTTTTGTGTATGACGTAATTTCGCATGAGCTGATTGTTTAGTTACATGGTCACTAAAGTATTGAGGAATCTTCAGTATGGCGTATGTGAAGAAGGGTCCTTGAGCCCTAGAACGTTGGATTGCTTACTACCCTTCTTATTGATGAGACACCTGTAGGAATACCGCCAATGGACGATTAAAAAACTTCACCTTCAGTCCACTTACCAACATTGCAAATTACCTTTGAGCCTCCCTTTTGCTTATTTTAGAGCTACCGTGATTTATTACGTCTTGGCTTTGTATAGATGACGTTAACTCTATATTAGGTGATCCATTTTGCGATTCTATTGCACCGTGCGCTCTGTCTTCTGACAGCATACCATGCGAATTTTCGTCGGTAATCTGCATTTTTTTCACATATTTCACACCAACTTATGTATATGGGTGTTGTTGTGGGGATGTGCGTTGGTTGATTCACTCTTGTTGATGTGTCTTTTATGTTGCAGCTGACTTGTGGGTCGGATCTTGATGAGCTGGAACAACATTCCAGCCGATCCGAAGCAACCACTCTTGTTCCCCGACGTGGACTATCCCCGTCAACCAAATTTTATCGAAAAGGATGTCAATCCGTCGGTGCGCGTAAAGTTAGACGCCGAATCGACCACCCCGTACCGTCGAACTCGGGATGTTGATTTAACTGATTGGGACGACGATGCAGCCGCTCATCTGCGTTCCACAGCCGATACACCAGGGGATCTCATTGATTGTTTGTCTCCTTGCCGTGGCATTCTTGGACTTCGAAAACCGTCGAAACGAAAATTTCTCAGCCTCAGACAGCTTAGCCGATTTAGGAGGCCTTTCGGTGTGATTTGGTTGGTTCGGGACGTGTGCGGCATAGTTTGCCTAGTATTCACATGGGTCCTGATTTTGTATGCAGAATTCGTCATCTCCAGTGTAATCCTCATGCGAGCACCTTCAAGTTCTTTCTGCTGGATCACCGGATCAATGTATCATCTGTTTGTGTCGCTTGCCTGTATCTCTCACATATTTGCCTTTTCCACTGATCCCGTGAGTTGTTTTTCGGTCCATTGTTGAGCCTTGTTTGTCGCCTCTTATTGTGATCTCCATGCCAAAACAGGCTTTAATCGGTCGGTCAAGGGTGTGATTCTGGTCAGATTTCTCCAATATGTTGTACACAATACGCATGCGTCTCGGCTCAAGAATATCGATTACCTTGAATAAGAAGTCTTAGTGCTCTGTGTTCTTTTGTGTGCTGTTCGATCAGTGTTCTCTATTCATCAGCTGCTGCCAACGTTGGATTTGCCGGTGTGCTGCGTCAGGCTAGTGCAGGTTTCATTCGAGGACACACGGTATGTGATATAGGCACATAAGGCTGTGTCGGCTACCAGTATGTGATCCACGACGGACCTCTTTCTTATCGTTTCAAAGTCATCGAGGTCATCTGAGTGCCTGTGCTAATATAGGTAATTGGTTGCTCAATTCCGCTCTTTTACAATGCTGCTGCAGTTTCGCGGGTCCCAGCTTTGTTTTCCAGACAGATTGGTAATTACGAGTATTTGTAGCTGTTTGTTTGTTGTGGCTGCTCGAATTTCGGGTGATTAAAGAAATACTATGAATTTCTTTCACTTTACGGAAAGACCTTGTAAATTGTTTCTAAACGTTTATGATTCCTGTTTACTAAAGGCTCAGTTTTTGTGGAGTGAAAATGTGGTATCTACGCTCTTTCTAAAGTTCATTCACATTCGGGGGAATAAGGTACTTTATCTGTTCTTGTGCCGTTCAGTGGTCCCTGTGATGCTGAGTCCACGTTCAACTCCCTATTTCTTCCGTAGTCGATTTGTAGCTTTTTTTGCTTTTACCGTCATTATGGATGGATGGAAACTGAACTTTACCGAAGTCACGCTGCAAACACTGGAATTATTTTTAAAAAATCGACAAATAAACCGGACCAAACAGGTGAACCATCGATTGGCAAACACGGAATTCACAGTCCACAACAACATTAGAAGAAGCAGTTCCTAAATGGTGTTGAGCGCGGGCCGGCACAAAACTGGAAAGATTGATAAACATCGATTGTATAGTCAATGGAAAGCAAACGTTGTGAACAATCCAGTAATTACCGAGTTACTGAATCAATTATCCACAGGTTATTTGAATTGCAGGGAATGATTTGGCCTTAGTAACCTGTATTTGGTCTTGGAGGCTGAGTTGGAGGAGGATCAGTGAGGAGCGATACAATCGGCACAAGACCTTTTTTCGCATACTGATCGATATAGCCTTTGCCTGGAACTGTCATTTGTCGACGAGTCACATTGGACCTACATTTGAAGTAACAAGGGAAACTTCCCAGCCAGTCGCGCGGATTGTCCTCGAAAGGTTGAGGTGGGAACACTTGAAGAGGCTGAAAAAGCTGTGGGATGAGCGTTCTCTCTCACTGTTTTCCATAACTAGCACGTACTTGGAACTTTTACCGTCATTATGGATGGATGGAAACTGAACTTTACCGAAGTCACGCTGCAAACACTGGAATTATTTTTAAAAAATCGACAAATAAACCGGACCAAACAGGTGAACCATCGATTGGCAAACACGGAATTCACAGTCCACAACAACATTAGAAGAAGCAGTTCCTAAATGGTGTTGAGCGCGGGCCGGCACAAAACTGGAAAGATTGATAAACATCGATTGTATAGTCAATGGAAAGCAAACGTTGTGAACAATCCAGTAATTACCGAGTTACTGAATCAATTATCCACAGGTTATTTGAATTGCAGGGAATGATTTGGCCTTAGTAACCTGTATTTGGTCTTGGAGGCTGAGTTGGAGGAGGATCAGTGAGGAGCGATACAATCGGCACAAGACCTTTTTTCGCATACTGATCGATATAGCCTTTGCCTGGAACTGTCATTTGTCGACGAGTCACATTGGACCTACATTTGAAGTAACAAGGGAAACTTCCCAGCCAGTCGCGCGGATTGTCCTCGAAAGGTTGAGGTGGGAACACTTGAAGAGGCTGAAAAAGCTGTGGGATGAGCGTTCTCTCTCACTGTTTTCCATAACTAGCACGGTATTTGGAACCACTGCGGCAATGTAGATGGCTTACAGTTGGTGACTGTAGCTCACCAGCACCGTTCTCTCCATTATCTTGAACAGTCGCTCTCTAGGTCATTTCTACCAACACACAAGTTTGAATTCTCTACGTGACAAGTTTTGTTATTCTCTACCGCGTGACTTATTCGTGCTCAACGAGTCCACTCAGGTCGACGATGGTTCGCCTCAATTGTGTTTACTCATTTTTACTGATGTTTCATTTTGTGGCTACGTGAAACTCAAATGAATTGTTGTTACATTATCATAGGAATTCTTTTCAGCTCTATGAGTCCGTTTTCCTTCACGATCTCTAACTTTTTTGCGAGAGTGAACTATCGTTCGATCATTCGTTGACATTCTATCCGGAAGTACGCAAGGCCACTTTTGTATCTGATGTGTATCTGTACTCGCACTCTTCGTCGTATTTGGTAGTCTTCTGCTGAACTAGACAAGAGAGCATCTATATGAAACACTTGGACGGTCTATCTTTGACACCTTAGGACTCGTTTTGTAGTGCCTGTAACTATATTTTGGGGAGTTTAATGAAAGCGAGGTTGTTCGTGACTTTGCGTGAACATTTATTTTATCTGTCTTAAGGTGAGACGCAGCTATTCATTCTTTCGATCAATCGGTCGACTGGCAGAGGTTTAATCACACCTTAACACTCATTTGCAAACTAATTTGGTTTTGCGAGAGACTCACCTGGAACCCAGCTGAATCTCTCTGTTTTGACGTTTCCAGGCTGGGTTCCAGGTGAATCTCTCGCAAAACCAGACTATTTTGCAAATGAGTGTATTTCTCTTAGTTTGTGCAATTTGGTTTCAAGTAGAACATAAGGTTGACGGAAACTCGGAGACCGCGCGTACCTGATGAATCCCAAAAAGGCGAAACCGGTCGTGGACTGTCGAGGAGTTTTCAGCAACCTTATGAGTAGTGCATTACAAAAATAAACACATTTGCCAAACCAGCTTTACCAGCTGGAGGTTGTGTGGGATCTTTTGGTGCAATGTTTCTGACCCCCTGAAGAGACATCAGTAAAACAGCATGTTGAATCTAGCCTAGCGATGTGACACAGTGTCCTCGTTCGAGAAGTTTGAAATGCTTTCATTATCAGTGTACTTAAGAGGTGAATCTGTTCTCTTAAAATTCTGGAAATCTTTGCGTCCTAGATTCCGGGCAACTAGCAGCAATAAATTCCGAATTTTCTCATCTGCAACTCACGGACTATTTGTAACATTCTGAAAAACAGTCATTTAAGCTCAAACGCGAGTGATGTGAGCGTGCATTCTAGAGTTCCCGCAACCATCCCTAACTAAACCAAAGTTGTCCAGCAGGTATTAAGCGTCTGTGGCGCTACCTGACTGGGAAGTTCTGAGAGACGGACCAATCGATCAACATCATTATCAGCTGTAAGAACCGCGTATGTGTTGGTCGGTACAACCAAGGTCGTCGTTAGAAACAGTCGGGCCTACCACTCACATCTCTGAAGAGTGAGCATGATCGCCTGTTCAGACGTGAAAATTCAAATGAGTCCAGCATGCCTTGGTAGAGTATTGCTAATACGCTCGCCTTGCATTTCAAACCCCGGCACTGCTGATGAGCCACATAAGAGCGAGACTTGATTTCAGTGCTTCCCGCGTTTGATGTGGACCCATTAGAATGATTTCGCCAGGACGACTGTTCAAATGAGAATGATGTGAGCATGCACATCATTTTGTCTTGCATTTGGACCCATTTGTGCTCTCTCGAAGCAAAACAAGAAAGCTCAAAAGGTAGTGACTGGCTTGAATACGATGGCTGTTGAAAAAAATTGACGAGCAAGCGAAATGCAAATGTGCATACGCACAATCCAAGTGTACACCCGTTAAATGACTGATAGTGTCACTTCGATTACTTTGTCATGCATTGCCCTCAGCTATTTGGTGAACAAAGGACAGTGTGTCTGAGAAGCTGGTTTCTGTAAACGTCAGAGGGCAGTTCAGAAGCGACATGTTATACGATAAACGAGATATTCAGCTGGGATTGGACTGAGTCGTCCGCTGACACCGGATTAATTTGCAAATGAATGTGTTATTTCCATTACACACTACTTGTTAGGACTGGTTTCGACTTATATCAGTGGTTGCACCTAAATCAACTTTAAAATAGAAAAGTACAAGTGCAGATTCAATGATACTGATAAAGTTCGAGCTTAGCCACGACGGGGGTCATGTCTGGATACAAGAGTCAATCTAAACATAACTTGGTTTTACGACATCTGATAGCAGTCGGTTCAGCTATGTTTAACACGTCTGTTAGTGTAGTCCCGGAACAGAGCAGTCAGTTTAAAAGTGTTCGTTCACTTCCTGGAGAGTCTCAAGCAGAGAAATTAGAACCGCCGACCCTGGCGGCCTTCAAAGCCGTTGTTTTCCGTTTCACACTCGGTGGATGCTATCACCTCCAAGGGTAGCCAGATCGGAATTATTTATTACTTTTATTGCCCGGAATAGCTCAGCAATTAAGTTGCAAAACCTGGTGACCGGATGATCCGTGGTCTGAACCTAACTCTGGCTTTGCGCTTGCTTCTGTCTGGGTTTGGGTAGCCTGGCAGTATCTCAACCCTCATGCCTCTTTCGAATTGTACGGCACCCATGCACCGGAGAGATTCCACAATCGAACCATTATTATTTTCCGTTGTCATTACTTTATTATTATTGTTATTATTGCTGCTATTATCATTACTAATGAACCCACCAAATAAGACAATATGGAGTGGAGGGTGGAATCGCGTTAAACGGGGCTGGATCTCACGGAAAGCACGTTGCTCGATTTACTAGAATATAAACAGACTGAATGTATGACCGATAAACCAGAAGGTGAAATGACTGGTGATTGTTTGTGTGACTAATGAACCCACCAAATAAGACAATATGAAGTGGAGGGTGGTGAAATGACTGGTGATTGTTTGTGTTTTAGTG